TTATAATTTTTACATTTAAAAGTCGTTTGATCAAAAATACAGTTGAAAATAACTGTTTTCTATTTGAATATATTTTAAAATGTAGTTTATTCCTATGATGGCAAAGCAGAATTTTCAGCAGTGTCACATGATCCTTCAGAAGTCAATCTGATATGCAGATTTGGTGCTCAAGAAAGATCAGTGTTGAAAACAGTTGTGCAGTTTCATATTTTAAGGAAACCATTATAAATGTTTTACTGGATTTAAAGAAAGAGAAAGTTCAACAAGAACAGCATTTATTTTAAATAGAATCTTTTGAAACATTATAAATGTCTGCACTGTAACTTTTAATCATTTAATGCATACTTGTGTGCCAGGATTATGGACTGGTTTTTGTTGTGTTTTCCCTCCCCATGTGTTCCGTGTCCCAGTTAATTGACTGATTCCATGCACCTGTGTTCCCCTGATTGCCCTGTGTTTAAAAGTCCCAGTCTGTTCAGTTTGTATTTGTCATCCTTATATTCTGTGTCTCCATGTTGGATTATTAAAGACTCTCGTTTTGTGAAATCTCCTCGTTCCCTTGCACCAACGTATCGCGACGCCTTGCTGTTTAAGAATATTATTTCTTTATTTTCATTTTTTTACAGCCTTTAAACCTCTGAATGATAGCGTATATTAAATTACATGTTTAACGTTTCAGTTTGTACAAGGAACACTACATATTATGAACTAACAATTAACAACAGTATATCTAAAATTAACATTACCACAGATTAATAAAAGCTGTAAAACTAGTTAATATTTATTTCATGATAAGGTTAAGTTTAAACCTATTGTAAAGTGTTACCCAACCTTCATATCAATTGAATCACACTCACTGGACAGGTCCATACATGAATGCAGGTCCAATACCTTTGTTACATTTTTTCGCAGCTGTGTGCCTTCCTTGTATGATTGTAATACCATTAACGTCCAACACTTTTACGTTCAAAATGATGCATCAACTAAGCAAACAGATGCAAAGGTTTCAGTTGCAAAATAACATTTCACATTTTGAAACTTGGGAAGAACAGAAAAAGAGCGAAACTTCCTTAAAGGGGTCATAAGATGCTACATGCACTTTTACAAGTTGTTTGAACTGAAATGTGTGTTGGCAGTGTGTGTACACAACCACCCTATAATGATAAAAATCCACCCGGTGTTTTAAAAAAAAATCTCATTAAATGTTTTCTCCTTTCTCAAATCGAGCCGATCTCAGATGCCTGTCTGTGTCCGTGTTGCCAACTTCTTAGTGATGGGTCGTTCTTGAACGATTCGTTCATTTTGAACTAATCTTTAATGTGACTCGGGAAGAACGAGTCGTTTCGGGGAGTGATTCGTTCAGTCACGCATGCGCAACATCCTATAGGTTCTGTACTGGAATTAGTCAAGTAGTTTACCTGTTTCGAGTCTTCGGGGTTTTCAGAGTCGTTCATTCATCACTTGACAGCCCCATAAGTTTAACCAATGCAGTCTGAGCCAGAAAGAGAATTGATTAGTTCATCTCTCGAGTCTTCGGGTTTGAGTCGTTCATTCATCACGTGACAGTCCCATAAGCTTTAACCAATGCAGTCTGAGCCGGAAAGAGAATTGATTAGTTCATTTTTTTTTTTAAATGTTTATTGAATCACTCAAATTCAACACTTTACAGTATAGCCAGGGGGTGAACACAAAGAAAATGAGATACAAAATTACAGTGAGATAAAGAGAAAATAAAAAATAAATTACATAAAAACATGGAAATGTTTACATACATTAATACACTTAACAGCTTTCTTGTTTATCAAATTGTAAATTGATTTTAGGTATTGTTTAACTTCTGATTTCAAAATGAGAAACAATGGTTTATAATTGCCGTACTTGCATTTTTGTATACTAAACTTTGCCAGCAAAAGTAATAAATTAATCAAATAATATTCCTTATGGAATGACATGTCGTAAGTGAAAAAAACCAAATAAAACATTTTCAAAACAAAGTTGAAAGCTGGGCATGATATGATCTCTAACAAATGAGCAGAAATTTGACCAAAACTTGACTCCAATAAATGAAAAAACATTTCTGTATGTAGACCACAAAATGTACATAGTGTATCAATATCACAGTTAAATCTGTTTACAAGGAAAAAGTTA